TGGTTATACCATTTTTCATTCCCACCTCAGTCGATAAGCATTCCTGTTGCTCCACACCCTTGCCAGCATTTGATTTTGTCAGTGTTCTGGATTTCAGTCATTCCAGAAGGTGTTTTGTGCTACCCCATTGCTGTCATAACTGGCAATTCTCTAGTGATGTACACATCTTTTCATGTGCTTGTCACACATTGCATATCTTTGCTAGTGAGCTGTCTGTTCAGGCCTTTTGCCCATTTTTAAATCAGGCTACTAATTTTCTTCTTTTTGAGTTTTGAAAATTCTTTACATATTTTGGATAACAGTCCTTTATCAGATATGTCTTTTGCAAATATTTTTCTCCATCTGTGGCTCATCTTCTTATTATCTTGACAGTGCCTTTCTCAGAGCACACGTTTTTAATTTAATAAGTCTAGTCTAACAATTCTGCCTTCTATGAATCCCAGCTTTTGGTGTTGTGTCCAAAAAGTCATCATGTCAAAGGTCATCTAGCTCCTCTCCTGTGCTATCTTCTAGGAGTTTTACAGTTTTCAATTTTACATTTAGCTCTATGATGCTTTTTGAGTTCATTTTTTGTGAAGGGTATAAACAAATTCTGATATAGTTCACCACTAGTAGACCTTTCCTATGACAAATGCTAAAGGGAGTCTTTCAGGCTGTAATGAAAAGATAATAGAGAGTAATGTGGTTCTGCATGAAGAAATAAAGAACACAGGAGGTAACTGCACACATCAATGTAAAAGCCAGTATTAATATATGTTTGGTTTGTAGTTCCTCTTTTTCCTATATGATTTAAAAGACAACCACATAAAGCCAAAATTATAAATCTCGGCACATAATGTATGAAGATGTAATTTGTGACAATACAGCATAAAGGTGGGTGTAGAGCTATATAGGAACAAAGTTTTTGCATGCTACTGAAGCTAAATTGATATTAATCTGCACTGTGCATGGTGTGCTAAGCCCCTTCAGTCCTGTCCAACTCTTTGTGACCCTGTAGACTGTAGCCTGCCATGCTCCTCTATCCATGGGATTCTCCAGGAGAGAATACTGGTGTGGGTTGCTGTAGCAGGAATTTCTAATAATGTACTTTCACAGCCTTGAGAAATTTCATAGAAATAGCACCTGGAAAAACAGCATATATCAAGAAACTGTTGATGATTATTTTTCAGGTTTTTCTCAGAATAATAGCCTTGTTACAGACCCCAAGGCCAGACCCAGAAAAGAATGTGACTGGGATCATGAAAGCATGGACCTTGGAACACCGGGTCGGCGTTAGGTATGAACACTGCCTACGCACTTGTTGATTGTCCCTGAGACTATCCCAGAAGGGAATAGTCTGGGGCGAAAACAAGGAGATCTGGACTATATCAATGTATTGTCTTAGGAAAGACAGATCAAAGAAAGTTTTGTAGTCTGCAATTAGGAATAAAAGCTGGACTCAGAGTAGACAATGCACCGCAGTCCAATAGAGGCTGCAGGTCCCCTGACCCATTGCATCAGTTTTTGTGTTGTTTTAATTCTCATAGCTCGCTCCTGGGCCTTTAAGACAACAGGTTGCCATGCCCTCTTCCAGGGGATCTTCCTGACCCAGGGATCCAACCAAAGTCTCTTAAGTTTCCTGCATTGGCAGGGGGGTTCTTTACCTCTAGTACCACCTCGGAAGCCCTTAATCTGCACTGCTGCTGCTGCTGCTGCTGCTGCACTAGATTATTATAAATTAAGATGCTTCAAATTGAGATGTTAGTTGTAATCTTCAGGGCAGTCATTAAGAAAATAACTCAAAAATAGACAACAAAAAGAAATAACAAGGAAATTAAAAACTGAAAGTGTGAAAGTGAAAGTCGCTCAGTCATGTCGACTCTTTGCAACCCCATGGACTATACAGTCCATGAAATTCTCCAGACCAGAATACTAGAGTTGGGTAACCGTTCCCTTCTCCAGGGGATCTTCCCAACTCAGGGATCGAACCCAGATCTCCCACATTGCAGGTGGATTCTTTACTGTCTGAGCCACCAGGTGGCTCCCAAATGGCAACCCAAGTATATTAGCAAATAAATAAAATAAATATATATTTAACAGAAAAGAACAGTGCTGGATAAAATAAAGAACAAAAATAATATAAGACATAAGAAAATAGCAAAATGGCAGAAATCCTTCCTTTTCAATAATTACTTTAAATGTAAATGGATTAAACTCTCCTATTAAAAGGCAGAAACTAGCAGAATAAATATTTTTAAAGATGTGATCCAAGTATAAACTGTCTATGAGAGACTCACTTTAGATCCAAAGACACAAATAGCTTCAAAGTGGAAGATGGAAATAGACAGTCTATGCAAACAGTAATCAAAGGGAGCTAGAGTGGCTATATTATGTCAGAAAAAATAAATTGTCAGAAAAAATAAACTTTAAGACCAAATTGTTACAAGAGACAAAAAATGACATCATATAATGATAAAAGGGTCATTTCATCAAAAAATATAAAGCAATTATAAGAGCTTCCCTATGACTTAGCTGGTAAAGAATCTGCCTGCCAATGCAGGAGACATGGATTTGATCCCTAGGTCAGGAAGACCCCCTGGAGAAGGAAATGGCAACTCACTCCAGTATTCTTACCTGGGAAATCCCATGGATAGAGGGACCCGGCAGGCTACCGTCCATGGGGTTGTAAGAGAGTCAGACATGAGTTAGGGTCTAAACAACAGCAACATAACAATTATAAACATAATGCCAGTAACAGAGGCATCAAAACATATGAAGAAAAAACTGACAAGATTAAAGGGGGAAACTGACAGTTTGACAATAAGAGTTGAATATTTCAATACTCTATTTTTAAGAATAGAGCAACTCTATAGAAATCAGCAAAGATATAAAAGACTTGCATAACATTATAAAACAACTAGCCCTAGCAGACATCTGTAGAATACTCCACTTAACAATAGCCGTATACACTTTCTTCTCAATGTGTATTGAGAACACAGTGTGTATTGAACATTCTCCAGTATAGAACACAAGTTAAGCTGTGAAAGAAACTGCAGTACATTTAAGTATATAAAATATCTTCTCTGACCACAAATATACAAAATATCTTGTCTTATGGTCTCTGATCATAATATACAAAATGTCTTCCCTGACCACAGTGGAATAAAATTAGAAACAAATAATAGAAAGAAATCTAGGAAACTCACAAAAATATGCAAAAACTAGCACATGTTTAAGTAAACTTAAAAAAATTTGGTTTTTGCATTTAGGTTCAGTTTCTCAAGTTCCAAAACAAACCTGGTGATACCTTGACTCAGGTTGAATCAAACCTATAGATAAGTTGGGTGGATTGACATTTTTAAACTATTGAAACTCCCAATCCAAGAATATGGTATATCACATCAAGAGTATGATAAGGTTTTATCATTTTTCCTATAGAGGTCTTGTACAGCTTTTAAAAAAATTATTTCCAAATTCTGGCATTTTTGTATTTAAATAATACATTAAAATGTTCTCATTTTCAAAATACTTGTTTTGCTATATAGGAATATAATGATTCTTATATACTGACTTTTGTATTCATCACCTTTGTTAAACTCTATTGATTTTAATAATTCCTAGATTATTTTAGATTTTCTATATACGTAAGTGTATCATCTGTACAATTTTGTTTCTTCCTTTCCTATCTGTAATGAACTGAATTGTGCCCCCCTCCTAATTCATCTGTTGAAGCCCCAAATTGTGACTGTAGTTGAAGAAAGGGCCTTCAAGGAGGAGATCAAGGTTAACTGAGGTCATGAGGATGCAACCTGAATCCAGTAGGACTGATGGTCTTGCAAGAAGAGGAAGAGGGACGTCCCTTGTGGTCCGGTGGCTAAGACTCTGGGTTCCCAATGCAAGGGGCCCAGGTTCGGTCCCTCGCCAGGCAACTAGATCCCTCATGCTGAAGCTTAGAGTTCGCTTGCTGCAAATGAAGATCCCGGTGCAGTCAAATAATTAAATAAATATTTCTTTTAAAGAAAGAAAAAGAGGAAGAGAACAGGAGCTCCCTCTCTCTATGCCCAGAGGAGAGCCTGGATGAGGACCTGGGAAGAAGGTGAACATCTGCAAGGAAGGAGAGACTCTTCACCAGAAAGCAGCTCTGCTGGTACCTTGATCATGAACGTCTAGCCTCCAAAACTGTAAAAAATAAATTTCTGTTGTTTAAGCCACCCAGTCTGTGGTATTCAGCTATGGCAACCCTAGCAGACTAATATAACGCCTTATACCTTTTTCTTTCTTTCTTCTTTTTTCTTCCTTCCTCCCTCCCTCCTCCTCTCTCTCTCTGTCCTTTCTGAGCTAAGATATAAATATAAAATATAATAGTATGTTTGTCTGTTTCCAACCATAAGGGAAAACTTCTATTGCTTCACCACTAAGCATGATGTTGACTCTAATTTTAATAGATATCCTTTACCAGATTCAAGAAGTATCCCTCTATTCCTAGTTTATATCATGAATAGATGTTAAATGTTATCAGTCACTTCATGGTAACTTTTTTTTGCTTTGAAATGTTCGCTTGGCAACTTACAGTGACTGCTGTGACTTCTTATTGATTTTGTTTTAATTCTTTTTTCCCATGCAGATATCTTAAGCATTTATTTCTTTTAAAATAGTAAGCATATGTTTCACATTCTGTGATCAAGAATTCTATTGCTTCAAGTCTTTGTTTCCCTTGGTTGTTGTTTCTGCTGCTTCTTGCTCATACTATCTTATTTCCTTATGTGCTTGGTTACCTTTAATTAATTGTCTGCCATACAAATGGACATTGCATTTGAAAAGTATTTGCTGAAATACTTTGAGGCCTAGGGTCATAGTACTTTCCCCAGAGAGGATATTTATTTGCTTTTGCTGAATACTGAGGGCTGCCATACTGGAAATATCATAAGTCTTCGTAAAATACGGAGGTTTTCTTGATCACAGGTGTGACAAGAACCCTGGCTAAAAGCTTACACAAAGCTTTATTTCTAACTCGCTGTTACACCAGAGGACTTGTCCCTTTGGGTGCTATCTTAGAGTTGTTGTTGTTGTTCATTCACTCAATCACATCCAACTCTTTGTGACCCCATGGACTGCAGCATTCCAGGCTTCCTTGTCCTTCACTATCTATCTCCTAGAGTTTGCTCAAATTCATGTCCATTGGGTCAGTGATGCTATCTAACCATCTCATCCTATGCCACCTCCTCCTTTTGCCTTCAGTCTTTCCTAGCATCAGGGTCTTTCTAATGAGTCAGATGGCCAAAGTATTGGAGCTTCAGCTTCAGCTCTTCCAATGAACATTCAGTGCTGATTTCCTTTAGGACTGACTTGTTTGATCTTCTTGCTATTCAAGGGACTCTCAAGAGTTTCCTCTAGGATCACAATTTGAAAGCATCAATTTTTTGATGCTCAGCCTTTTTTATGGTCCAGCTCTCACATCCATACATGACTACTGGTAAAACCATGGCTTTGACTAGAGGGACCTTTGTTGGCAAAGTAGTATCTCTGCTTTTTATTATGCTGTGTAGGTTCATCATAGCTTTTCTTCTAAGGAGCAAGCATTTTTAAATTTCATGGCTATAGTCACCATCTGCAGTGATTTTGGAGCCCAAGAAAATAAAGTCTATCACTGTTTCCATTTTATTCCCATCTATTTGCCATGAAGTGGTGGGACTGGATCATGATCTTAGTTTTTAGAATGTTGAGTTTTATGCCAGCTTTTTCACTCTCCTCTTTCACCTTCATTAAGAGGAGGCTCTTTAGTTCCTCTTTGCTTTCTGCCATTAGGGTGGTGTCATCTGCCTAACTGAGGTTATCAGATAACTATTGATATTTCTCCTGGCAATCTTGATTCCAGCTCGTGCTTCATCCAGCCCAGCATTTTGCATTTCATATGATGTACTCTGCATAAAAGTTAAATAGGCAGGGTGACAATATACAACCTTGATGTACTCCTTTCCCAATTTGGAAGCAGAGTAAATGTTTTTCTGGAACTCCCTTGTTTTCTCCATGATCCAACAAATGTTGGCGATTTGATCTCTGGTGTCTGTGTCTCTTTGACCAGCTTGTACATCTGGAAGCTCTCAGTTCATGTACTGCTAAAGCCTAGCTAGAAGGATTTTGAGCATAGCCTTGCTAGCATGTGAAATGAGTGCAATTGTATGGTAGTTTGAACACACTTTGCTTCAAGTATGGGAGTTTCAACTCCCCATTTTGGGTGGCCTAGCAGCCAAAGCCACAGCCCAAGTTTGCATATTTCCCTTCTAGTTTGCAGTGTCTATAGAGCTAAAGCATCTTCCTCACCTTCTTATCAGCTGTTCAATGTCTTTAATTTAGAATATGTAATTCATGTACTTTTAAGGAAACCCTTTTATTGAGACATAATTCATATGCCACATAAATCACTCATTTAAATGTACAATTCAATGGTTTTTAGTATATTCACAGATTTGTGCAGTCATCACCACAGTCTAAATTTAGAATGCTTTGTCACCTCCAAAAGATACCTCGTACCAATTAACTGTCACTTCTGTTTCCCTCCACCTTCTTCCCTCAGCCCTAGGAAAACACTCATCCACTTTCTGTTTTCATAGACGTGCCTATTCTGGACATTTCATACAAATGGAATCGTCCAATATGTGGTCTTTTAAGACTGGCTTTTTTCACTTGATGTAATATTTTCATGGCTCATCCATGTAGTCCATTTACTTTTAATTTAATTATTTCTATTGTGTTTAAATCTACCATCTTGTTATTTTTTTTCCCATTTGTCCCATATGTTCTTTGTTCTGTTTTTTGCCTTTTTTCTTGCCTTCTTTGAGATTGAGTATTTTTTAGGAGTTCATGTCATCTGTTGGCTTATTAGTTATTCCTTTCTCTTTTTTAGTGTTTGTTCTAAAGTTTACAATGTGCATCTTCAATTTCTACCTTTAAATAATATTATTCTACATCACATATTACACAAGAAACTTACAACATTGTGTTCCTTTTCTTCCCCTCTTGTCCTTAGGGCTTTTTTGGTCATACATTCTTCTTCTGTCCTTATTATAAGCTCCACAGTACATAGTTATTATTTTTGCTTAAGCTTTTCATCTTTAACATAAATTTTTGAATGAGGAGAAAACATATTTTACTTTTACCATTTTCCATATTTATTTATTTGTAGAGATTTGAGTTTCTACTTTTACCATTTTTCATATTTATTTATTTCTACTTATTTTTTTTTTTAGAGATTTGAGTTTCTACCTGATATCATTTCTCTCAAGCCTTCAGTAGGTCTGCAGATGATGAGTTCCCTCAGCTTTATCCCTGGAAACAAATCTAGGTTGACAATTCTTTCTTTTTGCTGGTAAGATGTTAAAAATTTAGTTCCATAGTCTCCTGACTTGTATTATTTCTACTAAGAAATCAGAGATTGTTCATATATTTTCCTTCCTGCATAAATATCTCTTTTTACCTTTGGCTCCCTGAAAAGCAATTTTTTATCGTTGATCTCATTGATAATGATACATCACTGATAATGATGTATCATTATCATATCTGTGCTCTTCAGCAGTTTGAATATGATGTACCTTGGTGTCATGTTCTGTGCTTGGCAATGGTTCAGCTTCTTGGACATGCGCATTTATATTATTCAAAAAATTTGAAAATTTTTCAGCCTTTATTTTTCAAATATGCACCCCCTCAACGATATGGAATAATTATATATATTATTCCCTTTGATATTGTCACAGGCTACTGAGACTCTATTCCTCTTTATGGTCTTTTTTCCTCTCTGGTTCTCCTGTAGCCCCTTTAGAAGTCATCCAGATCCTAATGGAGAACCGAAAAGTCCTTCACTGGAACTCAAATCTCTAAACACAGCCTCTCCTTTCTATCAGATTTATCCATGTATTAGAAAAATGGAAATGAGTACAAGGACATAATCAACCTCAGGGTTCAGCACAGTGCTTACCTATTACGAAAAGAAGGTACATCAGGGAAATGTTAACTATATTGGCAATGTTTTGTTTCTTAAACTGATAGCAAGAACATGGGTTTTGTTCTGTTATTGTTTATACTGTGTTTTAAATATTACATAATTTTTAAAGGGACCCAAGGACATGAATCTCAACATGTTAGAATCTCTGAAACTTTAATGAAAGGATTGAAATGAGGCATTTGGGGCACAGAAAGCCACGGGGTCCTAGATTTTTTCTCCCTGATACTGTTCTTCTCTTCCTTAAAAGATGCTTCATTGGTTTCGTCCTCTTCTCTCTGTTCCTTACAGAAGGGGTCCCCACGATAGAGCAGGGATAGAGGCAGCGGATACCCACGGGTCATTCATTGAGTCAGGTGCCCCTGAGCTGGCACTACTTGCTTTCCAGCACATTTTAATCCTGACTTTATTACCAGCATATTATCAGTATGCAGGGAAATAAGGCAAACACGTACGTATCTTTGTACTGAAGCAAGATGACTCCTCCCCCAGCCCTCCTCTCCCCTGTGGCTGAGCAATGCTTACTACTTTCAGCCATTATCACTGCATCCTTTCTCATCCTTCTATGTATTCCCAGCAGAAACCCTCCCTCCATCCTGTCTCTCAGTCTGATGAGCTGGAGAGCCAGCTACTTCCTTGCCCACCAATCCCCTCACTAGCCTAGTCCCTCACCAAGACAACATAATAGTTAAGAGCTAACATTTGTTACACTTTTGCCATATTAACTCATATAATCCTCAAGACATCCCTACATGGTAGACATGACTATTATAGTTCTCATTTGATCTTCAAAATATCTCAGGTAAGGAAACATCACTGCTACCATCTGTAACAATTTAAAGATGAGGCATCAAAGGTTCAGTTACTTGACCAAGGTCACACAAGCAGGAAATGGCTCAGTTTTTCTCTCTCTAGTTTTTGTGTGACTCGTGAATGACCAGGGCTGTCTGGTTAACCCATAGAAGAATGAAAAGCAATGAGTCACTGTTGATTCAAGCCCTGGGTTTGGGGTGACTTGTAGCCTGCCAATATGGAATTGGAACCGATGTTGAAAATTAGATGGTAGATGAGTATTTTCTCTGTGAAAATATATTTTCAGTGTGTTAAGTAAAAAAAGCAACCTATTAAGCAATATTTGCAACATCATTTCATTGCTGTAGAAAAACAGCAACAAAAAGCACATACTCTGGACCTATTCAATTTCCAACTTGGATAGTGTGTTTGATGTTGAAGGGTGCTCATATTCCAAACAGGATGCTGGTTAGTTCAGATTCTCTTGCCTGGAAGCTGATGACTGGAACTCAAAGGGAGGATCATAGTGTGCGGAGCAACCCTCAGTCTAAGGAGAGGCGGATGTCACTGTAGGGTGGTACTTCCCGGGGCACCTACAGCCTCCAGAACCAGCCTTGCTACTCTGATCAGCACGTCCACCCCTCCCCCCCTTTCAACAAGCAGATGAAGATGGTCAGAGAGCAGTCAGTCCCAGGGGAGACCAGCTACATAATTTTCCAGGGTTTGTGACAAGTAGCTCCTTGTTCAAACATCATGAAGAATGTCAAGACAACAGGGCATTTGACCAAGTGTGGGGCCCTCCCGGGCACAGCAAATGTCCCCAGGCTAGAGCAGGAATGCTCTGATTTTCCTTCCACTTTCTGGATGTGAAAGGAGGGTTGCTAAAGCTTATCCCCAGAGAGCGGGTGCCCATGAGAGAGGAGGACACCCCATTCCTTAGTTGAGTGCCAGCTGACTGGTCAACCTATCCCGCCTTGGGGTGGGGGGCGGGTGGAAAGGAGAGTGGACAGAGACAGAGCCAGGCAGTGAAGGTGGCCTGCATGCCCCCATTTGGCCAGACAAGGATGCGGGGATTTCCTGTGGGTCAGTCCCTCCTCAGGAGGAAGAATTCCAAAGAGGGGCATCCAGGGGCGAGAACAGAGAGGATATGTTCAAAACAGTCTAGCCAGATGACCCTTCTCCCCAGAGAACCCACTTGCTCACCCCACTTGGAAGACTTCACCCCCGGGAGACACTCGTCATCAGGCAGTGTTGGCCCAGAGAACAAAACCTGTGGCGCGAAGAGC